AGAATCACAGACTGGTTTGGGCTGCAAGGGACTTTTAAAGCTCAGCTAGTTGCAGCCCCCTGCCATGGACAGGGCCACCTTCCACTAGACCAGGTTGCTGAAAGCCCCATCCAACCTGGCCTTCAACACTTCCAGGGACGGGGCAGCCACAGCTTCTCTGAGCAACCTGTGCCAGTGCCTCACTACCCTTGTACATACCCTTGTAAAAAATCTCTCTCCAGATTTCTTGAAAGGTGTAATGACCAAAAAGTGACTAATGCTGAGCAGAGTGTGTGCAGACTCCAAAGGAAAACCAGAGACTTGATACTGTTGCAGGCAGGTTTTGAGCAGAAAGAATGAAGATGCCGAAAGGCTTTGATTTGAGCTTATTAGTCCTGGATAAGGGAATTGAGACTAAATACCTAGCTAATCTCATTGTTCTGTAAATTACTCAGTCTCTGTTAGCTTCTCAAGGAGAAGCAACAAAGCTCTTTGGAATGCACCTTACAAGCTCTCTCTGCATCTGAATAATTTCAGGAGTATTCTCCTGAAAAATTATGCTTCATTGGCTAACTGCAGATACGGTGTACTCATAAGTGTTTTCTGCCTCTAGTTGCCGTCACTTCATAATTAATACACAATATGTAAGGGACCTGAATGAAACAGGTTGTTCCATGAGAAAAGTGAATGCTGTTTTCTAGCATGCCATTTATTTATTTAGCAAATGAAGCTTGGTACAGCGTCTGTGTGGCATCTGCTGTCTGCGGTGGAGAACAGCAGTACTGTAGGGCATTTTTATATTGCCATATTAAAAAAAAGCCTTCAGCAATCCATCCCTAATCTAGCATCTGATCAGAAGTGATGGTGTCTTTCTGAGAATTAATTCCAACAGCAGAATAAATAAGTGTTCTTTCAGATTTTATGAGCAATTGAAAAATGCCAGCTTTTCCTCTTTGTGGTCAATTGCAATTGACACAGACCTGATACTGACTGTTACTACATTAGCAGCTCCTTGTAACAAGCTCAGCTGTAAGGAAGGCACTTGCTTTTAGGAGATCTGTTGTCATTGGATACTGCAGTACTGATTTAAATTACTGGGAAGTGCTATTTTTACTGAAAGTCTGCTTCAGCCTCTGGCAATACCAGCTATTTCAGCACAGTTCCTGCCTCCTGTCCCTCCAGTTGGCATCTCTGTAGTCACACAATCAAATGCTGCCATTTGTTTATTTCCGTGTCCCCAGACTGCATTGTGGCACTGCTCACCCCTAACCTGCTCACTTATTTGTGCTAAGAACAGTTGAGCTGTCCTGCTAGACTGTATCCTTCATGTCAGCAGGGTGAGCATCTTCATGTCACCCCAGCTTATTTTTGGGCTATTTCAGGAAAGACACCCATTTATTTACTCCCAACTCCCGCTTTGCTGTGTAGCCAGTGCTGTGCAGAACAGCTGCGCTCACATGGCTTTGCAGATGTCAGGAAGATACAGCATGAGGCTGCTGTTTGTGCTGTGCTCTCCGGTCTCAGACAGTGTTGGTGGTCGGTCCTGACTGTCTCCTGCAGCAAAGCCTCATCTACGTTAACAGCGCAGCAGTTTCTCTTGCACTGTAAAGCTAAGGGCCAGATAAATGCCAATAGGCTGCAATCTGCCAGCTCATGGCACCTGGTGCATGGCACTGCAAAGGAGCAGAGCCATGCAGAGGGCTTGTTCATTGCCGGTGGCAGCCTGCACTGAAGCTGCTGCTGAGTCAGGTAGCTCCTTGGAAGATTCATGCTGTTGCTGTGATCCCACAGATTTACCATCATGCAGCATGCAGAGTCCTGCAGGGGAAGAAAGCTGAGACTAGAGGATTTCCCCCTGTGGTGTGTTGGTAGCTTGTTAAATATGAGCTTCACACATCTTACAGGAACTGGAGCTTCATTCAGCAAATGGAGGTTACAGCAGAGCAGTGGATGAATGGCTCAGGTGTGCTCTTCTCTTTTTCCTCTTCCTTTCCCACAGCCAACTGAAAACTCCTATTTCTTTTGAGCAATAAACCCCTTACTTTCTTCACAGACACTGGTCCTCTTTTCTCCTCCAGGGCAGGTAAGAGGCAGCTCTCTGCCCAAGATAGGTTGGCCAAGCCCCAGCACGTTGCAGCGAGTTAATCCGTCTCTGGTATTGCCAGGATGGCAGCCCACCTCGTCTAAGTGTTCTGCTAATTTTTCTGGATTCCGCATTTGTTCAGGAGTGAAATTCCAAAGCACCGGAGGTGCTAACTGGTTTAAACGCTTGCCCGTATGATCCCATACATTGTGCCACTCATGACTGTCCAGCCTCTGGGAAGATCTTTTGGTAGTATTCTTAAATAGTTGCTTAATCTTAGAGAAGACCTGAGCCAGACCCTGCTTAGCTTCCAAGGTCGGATGAGATTGGGTGTTCTCGGGGTGGTCACACCATAGGCAAAACATAGAGAGCATATGCAGCAACAAGCTGGTTCCCAGCAAAAGGAGCAGGATGCTTTCTTTCAAGGGCATTGAAAGGATATTCAAGATCTGTAACTTTTCCAGAATTGACTCCTACTGTAAATAGCCTGGTGGGGGAGTGGAGAGTGTGAGTAAATGTCTCCTCCATAGGGCAGCAAAGGATGTATGTTTTTTTGATTCAGTGACAGACCAGTGGTATTAGCTGTTTACACTACCAGTTACATTTTTTTAAGTCATTTTTGCCAAGTTGAGGTTTTCCCATGTATAGAGCATTGTCATGTCCTAGTGAGAACCCCCATCATGATGCTGATTTCCTTGAATGTCTGATGTGCGTGTGAACTGAATAGCAGGGCTCTGGAACATGCCAAGGCTACTGGAGCATGCACCAAGTTACCCAGTTGGTGTTGGAGGCTGTTGAGTTCACAAGTGGCTTCCTAGCAAAGTCCAGAATTGCTTTGACAAACTCAGCACAGCATGTCTCACAGGAAGAGGTGTGCTTCTAGTGCTTGGCTTCTACGGTGCTGCAGAACTGCAATCCCCAGTGTTTATTATTTCTTTGGAGGAGTAAACTCTTTTGTAGGCTGTGCATCTTCTGACAGCTTGTATCTTCTCCACATCTACACTGTACCCTGGGGTTACTTTTAAAACCCACTTAACTTTCTCCATGGGGAATATGTGACAAATATCTTTTGCACATTAAATTCTTAATCCAGATATTTCCTGGCATCCCTGAATAGTTTTTCTGTCAACATCGAGCAGTTAGTTTGACCTGCCAGGTTTAGCATGCGCTTTTAGTGAGGGTCCCTCAACCATGCTAGCAGAGATTGACAAATTGTGATCAGTTGCCTAGCAAACATGGATAAGCTTAAACTCAGAGGAGGAGGAATGTTGGCTGCCTGCAAGCAAGGTGCCAGTTTTATGACCCTCAGAGTTTATCACCTTTCCTAATTAAAATCCCAAACAATCCCCACCACTGCTTGCATCGGCAAACCTCCCATAAGTGTGGTGTAAGGTACTCGGTGTGACTGGGAACATGCACAAGGCAGGTGGTGCAGGCTTTTTGTGCACAGAGCACAACTGGCAGTTGCAGATTTAGCAGTTGTTTTCCTTCTCTGATTATTTATTTACATTTTTAGAATGACCTTGGATGGGGAATGACTGCTTACTCGACCCCATGTCCTTGCTTGCACTTCCACACAGTGGGAGTGGACTCACTTTGAAAGGTCCCTGAGAGGGGGTTGGAACTGGATGATCTTGAGGTCCCTTCCAGTCCTAACTATTCTATGATTCTGTGATTGAAGACCTGTTTGCACTCAGTGACATCACATGAGTTACAAAAAAGGCTTGCGTTTCCCTAGTGTGATGGGGCAATATAAACTGATGCACTTGGCCACCTTTTCTTTATAGGGAGAGAGTGGGCTGCAGCATTTGGCTTGTAATAGCATAGTGTACTTGTATCCAAAATACAAATTGTGCTAGCTCCCTGCCTGAATGTTTGAGAAACGAACATTAAGTCCTACCCTGCTGCAAGGGCCTGACTGTGTTTGATGAATTGGAGTCAATGCTGGCAAAACGTAATTGCTCATAATTATGACAAATCATGCGCAATGCTCATACTGTGAACTACAAAGCTTTTGTCCGCTGCTGCTTATCCAGCTGCTTAAAAAGCACTCCTGTTAAAGTGCATGAAGCTCAGAAACAGTCCTCAGGATCTGGCTGTTCACATTTTGTTGAGGGCACTGAAAAAAAACTGGTCTATTTGAAGAGCTTTCTTCTGTTCCCCAGAGTTTCTTCTGATGTGGGGGAGCAGGAGCTGGACTGCAGGACAGGGGATGGCTCAGCAGTGCAGCTAGATGAAAGCAAGGATGGCTATTAAAAGGAAGCCTAAGCATTGCTTTTGATCGGTGTCCTTGATAAAAATCCCTAGTGATGCTCATCCTTCCAGTAACAGCTGCAGGCATGTTGTTTTCCCTCTTTCTGTATTATTGGACAATCTGTCTTTCTGGACTTCTTTTGGTTTTGCATTTTTTGCAGCAAGAAATGGTTTCTTGTACCTCATCAGAAGTGTTTGTTTCAGCAGATGCTAAAAAAGTGTGCATGCATGAGAGAGCACTCTACATGTTATTCCACCTTGTAGGAGTGCAAAATTGCATGGACAAGAAGTAACTGCTGGAATGAATTGCCTTTGTTTTCCATGCACTGTGTTACTTTGATTTATGGTCAGTGCTGTCAGCATGTGGCAGTCATGTTTACAGAGCACCACTGAGTCAAATATCCCAACGGGATATTTTAAAATGCTGGCTACCTTCATAGCCACAGGCATTTGGAGCTGTAATTGTTGAGGTAAGAGTGCTGCAATATGTGGGGTAGAGAATTTGATCTTCCCTTCCAAGTACAGTGCTGCATGTCTTGGCTAGGTACACTGTCCTTGTCAAGGGGTGTCCCAACCCACTGTTGAGTATAAACCCTTGCTGAAGTAGGTAGCATACTGTGGCATGGCAGGTATAATCACAAGCCAAGTTCTTCTCAATAAATACTCTTTCTTTTCTGTCTTCTAGTGTCAAGATGGTGCTGATGTGGACCAGCGGGGACACATTCAAGACTGTTTACTTCATCTTGAATCAAGCCCCTTTCCAGTTCTCCATCTGTGGACTTCTGCAGGTTTTTGTGGACATTGCTATCCTGTTACAGGTTTACTTGTACAGCTACTACCCTCATCAGAAGCCCGTGCCCCACACTGCTCACCCAGCCAGCACCAAGGCCCTGTGAGGCACTTAGCTGGACAGGTTGCAGGTCAATGGCACTGTGGAGTCAGCCATGGCAGCTCCTCTTTCGCTTGTAAATACTCCTCTGTTGCCGAGTTGAAAGCAGAAATGAGAACAAGAATTGAAAGTCTGGCTGCACTTCCAGCTTGTAAGGTTTTATTTTAAATAACTTGTTCTGTTTCAAACATAGCTGTACAGAGCTGTTTCTTGGTGGGGGAGGGGCACTTTATTTTTGCATATGTACCTATGAGCCTTATCAATTCACAAATGTTTGTATATTTAATCACAAGGGCTGGATGGTTTGTGTTTTTAATGCTATTTAAAAATGTTACATCACAGAAATTATAGGATATTTTGTCGGAAACTTTTACCTATTTATATAATATAAAGTCTGTATATTGGCAGGAAGTTTGTGGCATATGCTAGCATTCACCATCTCCATGATGTAGGAAGAAGTATTGAAGAGCAAATGCAGGAACTTTCACTTTTCTTTATGAAGGGTGTCTGGTGAGCAGAGAAGGTGAGGGCAGGAGGCCCTGCAAAGAGGTGGGCAGCCAGAAATGAACCTGTCATACTCAGTGGAAAGCATCAGTGTGCTGAAGAGTGAATGGCTGGTGTTCACCTCCACTGCGGGATCAGTGTGGCAGGTGGACACATCAAGGAGATGATGAAGAGGGTCCGAGTATGGAAGATGCTGAAGCCGTGTTGAGAGCAGGCACAGCCAGTCAAGCAGTAAGCCAAAAGGAGGAGCTAACAGGATACTGCAGGTAACTTAAGTAGTCATGCTTTGAAAGGATGAGGTTTGGGAACAGTTCTCTCTGCCCTCAAGGGGCAAGCACTGCTCCTGCAGCTGTGCACAGGACACTGCTGGGCTGTAGGACGTCTTTCACAAACCAAGGGGCCATGGATGTTGCCAGTATTGCCAGGCAAGTATTTCTGTGTGGTGACTGAGCCACAAAAGTAGAAGCAACTCCACTTCCAGTGCCTCAGAAGGGGAAGTGATAAAGTTTTGAGAAGAGAAAAAGCTGCATCCTATGGAGTAGGACTAGCATCTGACAGCTTAATTTGTTAAGGTTGAGATTTATGTTTATGTTTTGTTTAATGCCAAACAAGAACCAGTTGATGTTTTGGGGTGTTTCTTGTATTTTGACCCAAGGAAGGAGTCCGTGTTTTTATTTTTCTGTTGCTTAAGATCTTCTAGGCTTTTAGAAGAATCAGCAGTCTGTACTTCAACAGAGGGACTGAAGAAGCTGAAAGAGCAGCGAGTTTATTTATAAATGTAGATGTTGCCTATAATGGCTGTTTGCCAGTGTAGGTCACCATGTCCTTCCTGAGAACTATCTGCATGTGTATAGCAGCTGCAGGAGGTGTGGACCTGCAGGGGGCTGTTGCCAAGACCCTGGGCGTCTGCAAGTTGCTGTCATGAAACCACTGTGGTTGGTATGAGGCAGCCATAGGCAAGATGCTGTCCCAGGAATAGCTGTGCATGTGCTGTGTTCTTCTGGAGGCTCCCTCCCTGTCTGACCACAAGCAAGGTGGTAGAGCAGGGACAGCTTTTTGAGAATCACTTTTTCTCCAAGATTATCCCACGAGCTCATGTTTTCTTACTGATGGCAGCAAGTCTGAGGTTTTAATAATTTCAGTGTGTAAATCAGATACTTCGCCACCCTGTTTTATTTGGGAGCCTCATGATTTGAGTCTGGACTGTCTTCATTGGTGGCAAACTGTCCTCTGGAGGGAAGGCATTAGGAGGCTACATCAGTAAAGCATAGCCGAGGAGAGCTGCTGTTCTGAGGGTAGGGCACAGAATGCTCTGCCCAGGCGCTGTCTCCATGCTCTTTGTTCAATACCATATTCTTTTAGGCCTGAAGTGACCTTACGAAGATGATATACCCGGAATGGCAGACTATGAATGTTTTGTTCCTCTCTTTTCTCCAATGTTCTGGTTGTGTTACAGGAACATCTGGGCTTTTGTCTTTTTTAATTGAAAATTTACTTAACAACTGGCTTCTCTGGTATGCTGCTTTAATGAGGATTGTATTTCTACTGTATGCAAACAAATATTTTCTTGTGTGTTTTAATGGTCTGAAGGGTTTTTTTAATAACTTGTAAGAATTTTGTATATGGTGGTCTTTTTCTAATATTCTGTGAAACGGGGATATAAGAAATAAATGGCTCTTGGGAAGTATACTTCTGTATGTTATACGTTCACCTGGGAGTGCACACTTTTGGCCACCTCTTTGGCTTTGAACTACAGGTATTACTGAGGATAAGACAACTGTTGTTTTTTCCTTTTGGGACTCTTTCCGGGGCAGTTTCTTCAGTCTGTCATCAGTACCCAAACCAGCGAGCTCTGCAGACCAGTCTCATTGACACCACAGCTGCAAATGCTGGAAGAGAAGCCAGTGGAACTATCTCTAAATTCATCTTCTGTATGTGGCATTTAGCAAGGTAGGACTCTTGGCCAGGAACTCTTCATCTTGCAAGATAATTTAGGGCAGAAGGTTACAGAACTTTGGTTTTGTTCTTTAATTGTCAGGAAGTATCTGTATCAATGATCACCTCAGAGAATAAGAAATCAATTACTTTAAATACATCTCTTTGAATGTATGGCACATTTCATGGAGTTTCTTTCCTCTGTCAGTTACAATGGTTTTTTTTGTTTGTTTTTTTTTAATAAAAATTACCTATTATATATAAATTGCAGTGTTGCTTTGTTTTGTTCAGCTATAAGATGCATGCTTCTTAACTCTTCTTATCTAGAGCATTTTCTGTAGGAATAATTAGTGTGCTTTTTCCTCCTGACAGGTGAGTAGGCACAAGGCATACATTGTCCTGAGGTCGTGATGCAGGGATTTTGGTTTTCTGTTCCCTGCTCTTTCATACACCCTGGGCTAAACTTACCTTTGCAACCACTTTTTTATGCTTGTGATGCTCACAGTAAAAGAAATTGCTAACAGATTATTATGTAGCTTTAAAAAGAAGGAAATTCCTATAGTGATAGGACAAGGGGTAACGGGTTAAAACTTAAACAGGGGAAGTTTAGATTGGATATAAGAAGGAAATTCTTTCCTGTTAGGGTGGTGAGGCACTGGAATGGGTTGCCCAGGGAGGTTGTGAATGCTCCATCCCTGGCAGTGTTCAAGGCCAGGTTGGACGAGGCCTTGGGTGATATGATTTAGCGTGAGGTGTCCCTGCCCACGGCAGGGGGGTTGGAACTAAATGATCTTAAGGTCCTTTCCAACCCTAATTATTCTATGATTCTATGATATCATGCAAACTGTGTAAGAAGATCAAAGATGGGACACAGCTGAGGGACTTGCTCTTCATAGCCTCTGCACGGAAGATGTGGAAACTGTTATGTCATGGCCAACTGCTGTGCCAGGAGGAGTCTTGATCTCTCTTGCTGTTGATTCAGGACATAAAAACAAGCCAAGGCAGTCAGCAAACAACAGCTTAGGACTTCATACCCCATCTTGCCCCCTCTGTCCCAGTTTACGTGGATTTGGCTTTGGCTTTGCAGGTGCTGGCTTAGCTATGCTGGGAGACTGAGGGGCTTTGTTCAGCCTCAGAGAGGTCAGCAGAACTGTATTTCTCTACCCATCAGCCCCTCCATCTGTGTCTTTTCTGCTCCAAGGTTTCAAACTCTCCTAAGGCTGTAGCTTTTTAGGTGCCAGACCCTCTGAAAGCCAAGGATAATTTGCCCCCATGAAGCATCTGCTTTGAGGCTGCCATAGATCATGCCTTTTCTGACCTCATCGGCATGAAGCAGTGACCTCTGCCTGGCTTACTGCTGAGGGGATGATAGCAGGGTCATGTGTTTTTTACGTGCTTTTTCTTAATTGAGGCTGCTGTGAGGTGGGAGGTGGCTGTGCACATGTGCTGTATGAGCACGGTTTGTGTTTGACTTTGTGCCATTCCCTCTAACTCTGTCCCTGTACCAGTTACCACATCCTTAGCTCTCAAACACAGCTCAGGTTTTCAGGTGATTATTGTTGCCAACTGCCAGAATTTGTATGTCCAGGCCCGTGGGGGCTGCCACCGAGATGACCGTGTAGAAGAGGCAGCTTTGCTCACACGCACTGAGTCTCTGTCCAGTAGGAGAGAGGAATTTCTTTTCCCTTGGGTCAAAACCAGTGTGCTACAACCATGAAACACTAGACTGTGTTTCAGGGAAACAGGTATACCTGCTGGCACCGGCAGGCATGCAGACAGAAGTGTAGCATTTACTATAGTTGCAGATGTTGTGTGTGCTGTGTCAAAAGAAACAACAATAACAAAACCAACACTTTTTCAGTGGCTGATCAGAAGTAATAAGCATCACCCGTAACAACAGCTACACTGGGTGAAACTCGCTCTCCTTTGGATATCTTTTATGTCTGGCAATGTGTGCCTCACAACTTTATACAGCTTCCAGAAATAAGTCATTTAAAGGTTCCTGGTTTGTATTTGTTTCCTCATCTGTCATCTCAATAGCTAAAATGAAACTTTATTAAAAGCCAGGCCTTGACTAACAGACATAATGTTAGTCAAGACAATAATGAGTGGGTTTTGTCACTTTAATAAAACTCTGCGTGCTGGAATTTATTATGTGCCTTTTGAAAAAATATAAAGAACTCACTATTGTACAACAATAGCAACTTGATGGAGCACAAGCAGTAATGTGGTGTGTGTCATCAGTCTGTTTTTCTACACAGCTGCTAAGCTCCAGTTAGCTGTCCTGGTGCTGTTTTTTTCTGCTGCAGTGCCAAAAGCAGCATTCATTCATGATTATTTGCTAGCATGGGAAGTGTGAAACTCTTTATTCTACAAGGATGTCTACCCCAACATGGGTCTTCTAAGAGAAGGCTAATGCTGTTGGCCACTCATGGGCCTCTCCACCTTCAGGAGATGTATTCTGCACCCTCTGTGCACAGCAGCCACGATCACTGCTTTCACACCAGAGATGAAGCACTAAACCTCATGTTCCTGAACCAAAGGACCATGAAAGGTAAACTTGAGGGTTTGCCTGGTGAATCTGTTGGGTCCTACTGAGCACACAAGCGCTACCATAAAGCGTGCTCCTGCTCCATGCCACACTTTACCCCCCCACGCTACTAATTTTGCTGGTTTGCATTTAGCCAGCTGCAAAGCTGTATCCCTGATGCCAAACCTTAATAAGCCTTAATACAAGAAGTGCCTGCATCAGGATTAAAAGAATAATAAAGTTAAAATCGCTCATGAGTCACAGCAACCCAGTGCTGGTATTGCTTTGCCAAGAGTCTGAGTCAGCCCAGGCACCATCCACCAGCCCTTGGCCCTCCTTGCCTGTCACAAGGAGCAAATGTGCTCCCAGTGCTGGTGGGCTGTGAACGATGGATGGGCAGAGCCCTGGTGCATGCAGCTGCATTCAGTTTGCTTGTCATGCAACACAGCTGGGGCTTTGGAGATCCACATGTAGCCTGTAGGATAGGGGGGCTCAGTTTTGCTGCTTCCATCTCTTGCAGCACTTACCATGGAGCTGTATAACCTGGCCTGGTGACACCCTTGCGCTGCTCAGGGATGTGCTTGCAAAGGAGCAATGTCAGAGCTGCTGTGGGCCAGAGAGAGCTGGTTCCGTGGGACTCTGGCTGCAGCACTGGCATACGTGGCTTCACATCAGCAGGCAAAACACCACCTCCCCCCCTCCACAACCAAATCATAAGAGGCGCATGTTCAGCAGCAAAGCTTCTAATTTTTATTAAAATAAATGTAACCTTTTATTTTCCCTTGCTCCATTCCTATAAGGAATGGCTTAATACAGGAGTTTGCTAATGTGGGATTGGTCTTACAACATATGCTGAGGAAAAAAACCCAGACAAATCCCATCTTCAGTACATCAACTTTTTTTTCTTCCTGGCAGGAGGAGGTTATGGCGGGTGACACTGCATGGCTTTAATATAAATGGTGGTGTAGGTGCAAGAGGCAGTTGTGTTCCATTTCTCTCCATCCTCTGATCCTATCCCACCTGTAGGAGCAGTGAAAGATCCAGACATCATGCTGACTTGTACCAGCTCCACAGCTCCATCAGGAGAGCTCAAGGGGCTGGCATCAGTAAAGAAGCATGCTGATGCCCCCATGATTCATTTTCCCTTTAAATTGACTTAAATCTTTGGAGAATTAGGAAGAAAAGCCAGAACAATAATTCTAATTTTTAGATGACAGGTTTGTCTTTTTCTTAGTAGGGAAAAAAAAAAAAAGAGACTACTCCTAACACAGAGCACAGCTGCTACCCTGCAGCTCGGACCAGAACCCACTGAAGGCATCTCTTTAACTTCACTGGGTTTGGACTACTCCTGCTTGTACATGACTGCAGTCAGCGCAGCCATCACCACAGAGGAAGAGTATGCAGAGCTTGGACTCACTGCTGGTTTAACATTGGCTACCCTTCCCTGCTTGGGCTGCATGTAGTTCAGGTTTAGTTGTCTGTTAAACGCATCGTTTTTATACGTGAGAGGTGGAAACAGTTAACGGAAGTGGAGAGATGGCATGATTTGTAAAGATATTTGTTATATTCAGCTGTTAGCAAAGGGAAAAAAACCCACGTTGACATTCAGTACCATAGTCTGGAAGATTGTCTATGTAGATTTCTGCTATGGGGCTAAGATACAAAGCTTAGGGTGGTAAATAAGCGTATTTACTAAATAATGCATACTGTGCTAGCACACAAGTCACAGCTGCCAGCTGGTGGCCAAGGCTGCGCTGCCTGATCCGTAAAACAGACGAAACCAAGCCCCTGGGAAAGCTGAAGGGATGTTTCTGCCCTTCTCTGGCTTCACACCTTGGTTTGTCTGAGGTTTGTGCTCCTTGGCGGAGCTGCCGAAACAAACCTGCTTTGCACGGGGCATAACCCTCTTGCATGTGGAGTGTCACTGAGCAGGGAGGAGGTGTCACGCTGGCTGATCTACCGAATGGCACATGGCACAGGCTCTGCTTCACAGGACATTCTCCTGGCTGGCTACGTTCAATGGCTGCTCCTTGGGGCTTGCTGAAACCACTTGTTCAATAGAAAAGAAAAGCCCTATGGAAAGCAATGGAGCAGAGCTGTACTTGGTTGGGATTCAGGGCTGCTTTTCAGAGGGCCCTTAAGATCCAAAGTTGGTCTTTAGAGACAACCTTCTGTGTGTGTGTCTGCCTTCATTTCATTTATGCAGTTCAGGAGGTTTTTCTTGTAGAACTGACCCTCCTTGTCCACTGCTTCTTGTGCTGCCAACATATATCTTCAAGCTGTTCAGTCAGCAACTTCTCTTGGCTTCCTGGTCCCCTGCGGGCTGACCCTCCTGCCCAGCATCAGTTGGTGGAAATGTGACACCAAGCTCCTGTGCACTGTTACCACGTAGGAGTTCAGTGTTCTCTTCTAGCTGGCGCATCTGCCTGCTTGCTGCTCGTTGCTGCTGTTCCTTCAGCTCAATGTAGGAACGGGAAAAGGTATGAAAGATGGACGTGACTGGGAAAGCCATCAGCAAAATCCCACTCAAGATACTGCTCAGGGCTACCACCTGTCCGGGGATGCTACGAGGCACCATGTCCCCATAGCCAACCGTGGTCATGGAGATCACAGCCCACCAGTAACTGGTGGGGACGCTTGTGAATTCTTGCTTGGCTCCCAGTTCACTCTCAGCCAAGTACACCAGCGGCGAGAAGAGGGCCATGGCGACGCAAAGGAAGAGCAGGAGCAGCCCGAACTCCCTGGTGCACCGGCGCACAGTGAGCCCCAGTGTCTGCAGCCCCAGCGAGTGCCGTGCCAACCTCATCACGTACAGGATGCGCAGAGCCCGCAGGAAGCGCAGCACCAAGCCCACTCTTTCCAGGTACTTGTTCCCAGCTCCCCCACTGGGCTTGCTGCTGTTTTTTGTGGAGACTGTATCCACAATGAGAGAGATGTAGAAGGGCAAGATGGCCAGGATGTCGATGATGTTGAGTGGGGTTTTCAGAAAAGCACACTTGTTCTCTGCCTGGATGGATCGCAGCAGGAACTCAAATGAAAACCACGCCACGCACACTGTCTCCAGCACAAAGATGTCATAGCACTTCTGTGAGCATTCACCCTGGGGAGAAGAGGAACGGGAAACACAGAAAAGGGGGGATAAAATGATTTAGCCACAGAGCAATCTAAAGAAACAGAGTGGCAGTTCCTAAAGGAAAGCACCATGTGAAATAAATTGTAAGGTACCAAAGTAAATCATTGTTGCTGAGAGCAGCTGGAATGGGTAACTAAAACCAGAGCTACCAGCTACATGTTTGGCTGCAGGACACGTCAACAACACTCAGGAGTATCCAAGGCTGCCAAGAGTATGGTGTGATATCAGCTGTGCCAGACAGCACACTGCTGAAAGGCCAGTGGCTCTCACCTCATTTTTAACCAAGCCTTTAACACCCTTTAGAAATAATTAGTACAGGATTCACAGATTTTAATAAATGGGTGATCCCTCCCTCCCTTCCTGATCAATAAATGGCTTAAAACCAGCTCATAAACACCTAAGGCATTTTATGTCATGCGCTTGGAGTAATCTAATATTCACAGAACACAGAGTATTTTTTACATTCCAGGGAACATTTATTAACACACTAGCCCTGTAGTCAAAAGCTTAGCTAAAGTATTGATAAATGGGGGTATTTCTAAAAGAAAAAGTACCTCAAGAATAGAGGGAGGGTCGGGAGAGGTAAGCTTTTTAAATTACCTCACCTGTAACAACTAATGACCATGATGCCCTACCCTAGCTTTCTGAGACACTGGAAGAGCTGCTCTTCCCTGCAGGCTCACTTAGTGGAAAATAAAGAGAGAACTCACGATTCTTTAGTTACAATGCCTATAAATGAGCTAGCCTTGGTGCACTGGAACAGCAATAAACAATAATGATGGTGATGGCTGCTCTTTGACTGTTAATTCAACAGCATGAATACTATGGCAATTCTCTGCAAACTCCAGCTGAATAATAATAAGCTTCTCTAAATAAACAGATTTTGATGTGGACAATTATAGGGCTAGTGCTGTTTCCTCTCTAAATGCTCATATAAAAGCGTTAATGCTCTGGGGGCTTGAAGTGGGAGGCAAGGGTATATTTGTTTAAAGGAAGTGTATATTTATTCAGTGAGCCAGTTTGAACAGTTCGTGAAAGCTCTTGTAAGCATGTAGGAGGCCATCCATGCTAGAGGGGTGAGTGACTCCCACTGGATGCAACAGGCATTAGGTACCAATGTAAAACCTCATTTTGCTCTCCTGTGCTAAATTATGGTAATAAAATATCACTCAAGTGTGGTGAGCCTGTGTCAAGCTGGTCCCCATTTCACCACTGGAGAAACTGGCATAAATATAAATGGTTCTGCCCACATGCTCACCACAGGTGCCTTCTGCTAGGCAGAGCTGAGGAAATGTTTACTGCACAGCACCACATCCTGACTTCATCCCGCTCTAAGCGTTTATGAACAGGTTTTTCCCTGTTTTGAAAGAAAACAGCAAAAGAGTGATGAGAGTTTTGCTGTCTCCGCTAACTACAGCACTCCCCAGAATGATGGGGAGTGACTGAATACATGTTCCAAGGGCTGCTGCACTGTTGGCACCAACACCATGTCATCACATTGAATGTACCACCTTGTGATATCTCAATATGCCCAAAATGCAGAGGCACCCTCCCCATTTCATGCTTACTAAAAGACTGAGACAATGACTACAGCTATGTCAATACAAAAAACAGAAGAAAGCTGGTCCTTGTATTAAACAAGAAGGAAGGTTGTAGTGCCTTTTATTTATAGATATTTTTAGTATTCCACTTTCAATTGGCATATGATGTACCTCCCACTGTTTCCCAAAGGGTCATGCTGATAGGGAGAGAAAAATTACTTGTTCTATTGAAACTGCTGTCAAGATTTAAAGCATATTGCAGGGAGGAAGGATAATCTTGTCTTACTGAGCTTACTGTAGCTCAGATAGACTGTCTTTAGCTTTCTAATTTTGATAGGTGTGAAAACTAGAAGGAGCTTAATTTATTTCTGCCTCACCAAACTAATTTGGTCATAAAAAGTATTTTTGTCACAATCATCATTCATAGGACAAAACATTTTGTTTATAGGGGCTTTGCTCCTATCACAGCATACTTAAGCTGTCAGGCACTCCCATCAGATACAGAACCAAGATGCTTTCACACCACTGCACAAATCTGTCTCTGTGGGCCAGAGCCAAAGCTCACAAAGTCAAAGTCAGTGGAAGGACTCTGCCTGCACCACTGTAACTTCTCATCTTATTACCAAGAAACCAGCCATCCACCAATTTTGTCCCAGAGCCCTGCTGTCTGGGAATCTCTCATCAGGACATGCTTATCTCACGTGTAAGGGCAATGGCTGCAGGTGATTTGCAGCTCCTGATACTGTCCTTCCCCATGACCCATTTATATCACAAAAAGATCAGCCTGAGATGTTAGGAATATGATCCATAGAAGAATAGCTATGGCTTGAGCAAAGCAGCCACTATGGCAAGAAGGAAGAAACCCCAATGTGCAAATTTGCTTTCTCTGAAAGCTGCATCACTACTTGCACCACCATGTATGGAAACTAGGATGTAGTTCACCTTAAGAAACCTGTCAGGAAGCGTTCTGGATTCTGATGTGCGTGTATCTGATTTTCATGCCACTAAAGTTTAAGGAAAGTCGGAGAAGCCTATGTAGAATTTAGCTTTGGAATAGACCTACAAAGACATAAAGGCATTTGATAGCTAATTTGGCACCTAATTCGTCCAGTGCTTTCTATTTTGTGCATAAGGAAAGGAAACTCTTCAAAGTCCTTCTGTGTATGAGTTTCGGTGTGGGAGCAAACAGGAGTGAAAAAATGTTGCTCATTAAGTGACGACCAGTGGAGATGACTTTCAGAAGACTCTGATGTGCCCTCCCACACTCTGATATGTTTATCCTGTGTAGGTTCGCAAACCTACAGCTTTGCTATTTATGTCTCCAAGCTTCCTGCAGAACTATCTCAAAAATGCAAGTGCAGGAGCATCCTGGCAACCTTTGCTCAGTTGAGCACGGGGGGCTTGGCGGGATCTGCAGCGTGGGTCATCCAATGCAGCATACCCAAGCTGCCCATCACTCTAATGAAGAGCTGACATATACTCCAATCCAGAGCTGATGCTGGGCTCTGGCTTTTCTCTGCTCTTCCCACTATGCACAGCTGACAGCTAACCCTGTGAATGCCGAAATGTTTACTTTCAGTAGAGCCAAGTAATAATGCTCTGCCACACAGAGTTCATTTTAGTGGGATGAAACAATCCCCTCTTTCAGCTAATGTATAATTACCTACAGCAAAGTGCTAGTCTTCCGCAGTGTTGTTATTAACCTATTGCAATCTAAACAAGCCAGGCGCAGTCCGAAGGCTGTCCTGAGAATAACAGGGTACGAACAGGCTTTCAGAAAAAGAGACCTGTGTGTCAGTTAACCTGCTAGAAGCCTTTTTTTTTTCTTCACTAATTAAACGTCTTGCTCTCCCCTGGACCATGTTTCAATATCATCTAGGTATGACCTATTATTATCCTCGCATGAAATCAAAACAGTAACAGCAAAAACACATTTCATGCTCTTTGGTTCCCTGAGCTGCAGCTGCTTTTCCTTGCAGCTTTTTCCCCTTCATTACAGCATTGTGAAAAAACAAACAAACAAAAAGGCAGGCTTTTTGCTTTCTAAAACTTTTAGCTACGTTTTTGAGTCCAACCGGATGCTGTGACTCTGCTTAGGGTCTTGGCTGTTTCTTTTTTCCATTCAAGAAAACAAAACAAAAATGTGCAAAAAGACACACACACAGATGGAAAAAAGCAATCAGGAATTAATCAGCCATTGGAGTAAGAAAAAAAACCAAAAACCAAGTCCTAACAAAATAGGATAGCGTCCTGTGCAAAATAGGTCTGTATCAAATTGCTATTTTCACAAACAAGATCAAGCTACACCAGCTCATGGCCATAAAACATGTACATTAATAACTACATACTGGTTTTTACTTTTTTGTAAGCAAAATAGCTAGCTCTCTAACTAACCAGATTTCTTCATCTTGTAATCTAATGGATACATTTTTATGATTATATTTTCATGTCTAGCTTTATAAAACTGGGCCACAGGAAAACTCTTTTTTAGCATTCAAAACAATTTGACTTCTTTTTCTCTTTTAGAGGTCTAAACAAGAAATAGCAGGAACGGCAAACAGAAAGGACATCCCCATTGCGCTTATCTAATGTTACAAGACTAACTTTTTTTTTAATGGAAGTGTTCAAAACCCATGTAGATGCCCTCAGTGACAGGGTTTAGTGGTGGACTTGGCAGTCCTGGGGCAAAGGTTAGACTTGATGATCTTCAAGGTCTTTTTCAACCTTGATTCTATGCTTCTATGTAACCATGGCATTAAATAAACAATGCATTTGGCTTTTGATTACAAAAAGCAGTGGTGTAATAAAGATAAATGGAAACAACAGTTCTTTACAAGATGTACATGTTTATTTATATGTGTACATGTGGGTTTTTTTCAAACAGCACGTAGGATTTTTTTTCTTGTGCAGAAATTACTTGAGATGGTGAAATATCTGCACTTGCAGAAGATGTTGAGGGCATTTACTAATGTTAACTCAGGGCGCAAGAAAAGAAGGAAGGTCTCAGTGAGTAGCTCTATGCAGTCAAATTAAAGTGAGTCTCCTTCACTAGGATCTGGAGAAATTTGCTGTCAGAAAGCCAACTGCAGTATATCTTCCTTCTGGAGAAATGTTTTCTTTGCCAGAGGCTCCTTTGGCAACAGGAAAATTACAAAAGAAAAGCTGGTAATCACTTGAGCTCAAATTCAGCTGTGCTCATTGCTCCCTATGGTCAGCCTAAAAACTGCAGGAACCTTTCAGAAACATTTTGGCCTGCCTTGCAGGGTCCCTTTCACTCATACTTGCCTGGACTGTGCCTAAGAAAAATTCTCCACTGTGTTGTGTGACTTCTTGACCCTTCCTTTGGCCTCCTGAGAAGGAATTCTGATTTTCCTCTAGATTCTTGCAGGCTCTGACAGCATCAGCCACCTCTGGCATTAGAAGATG